TAGAAAGGTATTTTGAAGGCCTACAATCTGGTCCTCAACTGAAGACATGTTTGATACAAAATGAATGACTTTTATTACAAAATACTGTGGCAGTAAGTCTTACACTGTGATAATTTTGGATGCCTTATATATGGTTAGAAAGGTCTTCAGTAGGACTACAACTTTGTCTTCAACTCATTGTAACTTTCCTACAAATCTAAGAACTTTTGTTAGTACTTACTGCAGCAGTTATTGACTGTATTGACTGAAATTGACTTGGGCAGATTTTGGTCTGGGTTCATAGCGGCACTTTTAAAACCTAACTGCCCAGTTAACACTTTGGCTTAAAGTCAATACTTGCTTCGCAAAATGCAAATTACTGACCCAACCCTGAGTTTTCAAAACAGTATTAGGGCCATATCTCAGTGAGTTCTGAAGCTTTCATAATGGTTCCTATATGGCTAGAAAGGGATTTTGAAGGCCTATAACATGGTATTTAACTGGAAACCTGTTGACTACAAAATGACTGACTTTTATTAGGATACACTGTGGCAGTTAAGGCCACACTATGAAATTTCTTAATGGTGCATATATGGTTAGAAAGGTTTTTAGAAGGACTATAACTTTCAATTCAACTTTTGTTTGATTGACCACAAATCTATTAACTTTTGTCAGTACTTATTGCAGCAGTTATTGACTGTCTTGACTGAAACTGACTTGTGCAGCGGCACCTGCCTTTTTCAAAACAGTAATAGGGCTCTATCTCAGTAAGCTTTGGTTGGATCACAATGAGTCCTATATGGTTAGAAAGGTATTTGAAGGGCCTACAAATATGGCTTTAACTGCAGATATGTTGACCACAAAATGACTGACTTTTATTAGGATACACTCTGGCAGTTAAGGTTACACTGTTGAATTTCTTGATGGTTCATATATGGTCAGAAAGCTCTTGAGAAGGACTACAACTTTGTATTCACCTAATTGGAACTTTCCTACAAATCCATCAACTTTATTGACTTGGCACTTTCAAAACAGTATTAGCACTATATCTCAGTCATTTCTGAAGCTTTCAAGATGGTTCTCATATGGTCAGAAAGGGCTTTACAGAGGCTATAAACTGGTATTCAACTGGAAATATGTTTGATATAAATCCAATGACTTTTATCAGTACTTACTGTGGCAGTTATATTGACTCAAATTGACTTGTGCACATTTTGGTGCCAGTCTATGGGGACACTTCTGGGACCTAACTGCCCAGTCTACACTGTGGCTTAAAGTCAATACTTGACTCACAAAATGTCATATACTTTCAGTCTTTTGAAACAGTAATAGGCTCATATCTCGATGAGTTCTGGTCGGTTTAAGATGGTTCCTATATGGTCAGAAGGATATTTCAAAGACCTACAAACTGGTCTTCAACTGCAAATATGTTGACTACAAAACGACTGACTTTTATTAGGATACACTGTGGCAGTTCATGTTACACTGTTGAATTTCTTGATGGTTTATATATGATTAGAAAGGTTTTTAGCAGGAATACAACTTTGTATTCAACTTATATTTAGTTTATCACAATTAGTGTATACTGCAGCAGTACTTATTGTGCTGATTTTGGTGCCAGTTTATAGGCTTTATCTCAATGAGTTCTTGTTGGATTGAGATGGTTTTCATTTAAAGGGCCTATAACATGGTATTCAACTCAAAATCTGACTGCAAAATGACTGATTTTGACTTGTCTTTTGAAACAGTATTAGGCTCATATCTCTGTCAGTTCTGGTCGGTTTGGGATGGTTTTTATATGGTTGGAAAGGGAATTCCAGGCACTCAACACAGGTTTGATACAAATTGACTAAGTTTCATTAGCACTTACTGTGGCAGTTATATTGACTCAAATTGACTTGTGCACATTTTGGTGTGAGTCCATGGGGACACTTCCAGGACCTGCCAGTTTATACTGACCGTCCAAAGTCAATGATTGACTTACAAAATCACCAACATTTCAAAACAGTATTAGGGTTATATCTCAATGAGTTCTGCTTGTATGGAGATGGTTCTTATATGGTCAGAGAGGTATTTGAAAGGGCTACAAATTGATGCTGCATATTCTAGTGCTAGTTGATAGTGACACTTATTTACTCCCCTGGTAACACTTTCCACTTTCAAAACAGCATTTGGGCTGTATCTCAGTCATTTCTGCAGCTTTGAAAATGGGTCTTGAACGGTCAGAAAGGTATTTCAAAGGCTTATAATCTGATGTTCAAATGACTTGGCGGTAAGGACTACAACAGATTGATGCAACTAAAAGGCAATGCTTGAGTCACAAAATGCAAGTCTTTCAGTACAGTATTCCGGAGCTTTCAGAATGGATTGAAAGCCCAACCAACTTAAAACGTGCTAGATACATGGTTTGGGATTTCAGTTCGAACTGAACTGGACTGACATTCGGTGAAGGCCATCCTGGCCCTCAGTTTGGCCCGGTCTGGCTTTTCGCCAAGAACCAAACTGAACCAGACTGTTGACTCCAATTGACTGATTTTAGGGCACTTTGAAACAGATAAAGTGGATTTCTATATGGTTGGAAATGTATTCAACTGGAAATATAGTGGATACAATTTGACATACTGTGGCTTTTGGGCAGATTTTGGAACCAGTTAATAGAGGCACTGATTTGACATAACTGCCTGGTTGAGTCTTTTTGGCATACTTGTAGAAACATCTGACTGAAAATTCACTTTCATGCAGTGGCAGTTAATATTGAGCTGTTAAGTTTTGAGTTCAAACTCAAGTTTCACCCACAAGCAGCTTTGGCTGAACAGACTTGTCTTGTCAGACATTCCAAGTTATATGAAAAATTAGACAAAATTGTTGATTGCACGCCAACCGCTCCAGCTAAGTACAGGGAATTCAGGAATTACATAGACCTATGATATTCGCGCCGTCGGGCAGCGCTTCGGCCCGATCGGACCAGATACGGCGAGGTTCGCCAGTGTGCCGGCTCAAACAGAGCCTTGGGCGATACGGGAGAACGGTGCGGCCGTTCGGCGCGAGATCTTCAAGGAGGGTAGTGCCATGCTACCCGCGGCTGCTGGCCGCGTTTGGGCCGACGCGACGCAGCCGGAGCCCGGCAGTGCGGAGGGCGGGTGGAAGTCCGCCCTTGCGCGTGCGGCACAGCCGCTGCATCGCCCGGGCTGGAAACTTCACACAGGGAGGGGACACGTCGTCCGCAACCGCTTGTGCAATTCCAGCCCTATCGGAGCAGCGGCTCGGCAGCGGGCCTCGAGACGGCGGTGCAGACACGCGGCGCCGCACCGCGTCGTGGAGGGCGACGGGACCCGCGACGAGGTGGCGCAGTGACGTAGGCGAGTACGTCAGACTTGAAAACACATGCGCTGAGCATTTGAATTGAGAAAACAGCTGAAACCACTCACCGGGGGAAGAATTGGCGATGCGCGACAACGACGGCGTTGTGTCCCACGAGACTTTCTGGAGTCGAAGGTGCATATCAGGGCTACTCACGCGCGCGCTTTCGAGGAGAACGCGCGGCAGACGGGCCGGAACGCCGCGGGCTTGCCGAAAACAGCGGTCGGGCCGCGCAGGGCCAGCCACCGCCCCGTTCTGCCTGGAAATCTCAGGAAATGGAGAGGCACAGTGTCTCCCGTATCGCTGAGAATTTCGGGCGGAACGCGTCAGAATTGCGCCCAGCGCCCTCCATTCTCGGCCAAGACGCGTCGAGCACCTTGGGACACGTCCCTTACGTTGTCATCGACGTTGCCGGACGTCGCCGAGGGCCTCCGGAGCCCGTTCGGCGCGAAACGGGCGATTGCCGGGGAAACCCGGCGCGTTGCTGGCCAGCATCCAGCCGGCGGATCGCCACAGAAGTCCAGCTTCTTGACGGGAACGTCCTCCGCTCTTCGCGAGTCCATTTTCGCGTCGATCCGCGGTCGCGATCGCGCGCAGTGACCGGTTCTTGCGAGATTTGAGCCCAGAGTGGGCCAACGACGATGGTAGCGGCGGGAATGCGGATGGCGGGTTGCATCGAAGTGCTGGGGACACTGAGAGAGCAATAAATTAGTAGAAAAGAAGCCACAGATGGAAGAAACACGCACCTCGCGGAGACCTGCAGCCGCAGACCCACCCGCTCGGCCGTTGGCCCTGAAATCTTCAGGAGAGGGAGCGTCGCAATGTCGCTACCTGTGGTTAAATTTCCAGCCAGAACGGGCACGAACTGAGCCCAGCGCTCACCGGTCCTGCCCACAACGCCGTCAACAGCGACCACGGTCGATGCGGCCCGCCGACAAGCGCCGAGACGCGCTGAACCGGTTGGGATATGGTCTTTGAGCCTCCCCGGACATGCCCGAGGGACACCGGGGGCCATTCCCGGCCCCAAACGGCTAGGTTTTGGCCAAACGGGAGCCCAGCGGTGGCCCGAATCCAGCGGGCAGATGGGCCGACAAACACCATTCGAATGACGAGGGAGTGTCGCGCCTTGCGCGTGACGATTTTCGCGACGATCCGACGGCGAGATCGCGCGCGGTGACGAATTCAAGCCCAGAATGGGCAGAAACGGCAGGGCAGAGCGGAGAAGGGAAGAGGCTTCGGGTGGGGTGCTAAAGCCAGTCGTATGTGGGAGGGAGAGTGTCGGCGTGGCACCAGCAGCCGCGAGAGATGTGTTTGCCGAGCGCCGACGCCGAGTACCGCGCCGGTGTTGCCAGCAAGATAAAGACCAGATTTGCGCCTGGCTGGATTCGCTGCGCGTCGTTGAGCGATTTGCGGTTTGAGGGTGGTGGTTGATAAAAAAGAAGCGCGGGTGACGGCATGCGGCACGTGCACGCCACGTCTTCGTCCCACGCAGCCTCTTCCTCTGCTCTTCCGCGCACAACGGCGGCCCCGCGGGGTGGTTTGCCGCAGACACGCGTCGTAAACGCCAGCGCGGGGCGTACTTATACCCCGCGCGACCTGCCGTCCCTCGCCTTCTTTCTTTCCCCCAGTTGTCGCTCGTTACCCACCCACCCTCGTTAACCATGGCCGGCCCACGCCCCCGCAGCCTCCCGCTCCTCGCCGTGCTCCTCGCGGCCGCGCTGCTCCTGCTCCCCGCCGTGCTCGCCCACGGCGACCACAAGGGCGCCCACTACGGCCGCAAGCGCACCCGCAACGGCCGCCCCGCCCGCCCCTTCGCCAAGGGCCGCCCCACCGCCAACGTCGGCGGCGCCGTCAACGCCACGCCCAAGCCCAGCACCACCGCCGCCCCGCCCCCCGCGAACACCCCGGCCCCGCCACCGCCACCGCCGGCCCCGTCTAGCACCCCGGCCGCAGCCCCGCCCCCGCCTCCGCCTCCGCCACCCCCAGCGCCCACCTCTACGAGCTCCACCCCGCCCCGGCGTCCGCGCCCGACCGGGCCCGCTCCCTGGGCGCGATCAACGCCGGGCGCGGCCGTCGCGCCGCTCGTCTCCGCAGCGGACCAGGCGCTGTACCTCAAGTTCCACAACGACATCCGCGCCAACCACAAGGGCGACCCCCTCTCGTGGAACGACACGCTCTCCGCCGCGGCCCAGAAGGTCGCGGACACGTGCGTGTTCGAGCACTCGGGCGGGAAGGTCGGCCCGTTCGGGCGAGAACCTCGCGGCGGGCACGGGCAAGTACGGGATTGAGAAGGCGATCGTGTCGTGGACGAACGAGTCGGTGCGTGCCGTGCCGTGTTTTTGATGCTGATGCGGAGGCTGATGGCGATGGCGCAGGGGACTACGACCCGAAGAACCCCGTGCCGTCGCACTTCACCCAGGTCGTGTGGCGCGGGACGACGCAGGTCGGCTGTGCGCTCACCGTGTGCGCGCCCCGGCACGATCTTCGACCCCAAGTTCACGGTGCGTGTCCGGGCCGCGTGTGCCCCCGGTGCTGACCTCGGCGCCGCGCAGAACACCGCCGAGTACTACGTCTGCGAGTACGCCCCGCCGGGCAACATCATCGGCCAGTTCGAGTGCGTTTCCTGTTCTTTCTCGGGGCTTCCGGGCCTGCTGACGCACCCCCAGCCAGATGGTCTCCGTCTAGGCCAACGCCCGCATTCCCGTTCTTGTTTCCCACGCGCGAGCCTGGACGCCCCCGGTTCTATATCTCTCCATACCACTGTCTTGTCGTATCTATCTTCCTGTTCAATCAACTTGTTACCCCGCACATCGTCTGACCAACTCGGCGCGGCGCGCGGCGCTGCACCGGAGTCACGGGACTCACGGCCCACGCGCCGCCGGGTGGCTCGTCCATCTTCGGTCTCTGTAGGCTAGTCCGCGCTATATGGCTAAGCATCCTATGCTCGTTCGGGCGTGCCCGCGGGTCTTAGAGACAGTATATGTGTGCTCGATTTTATTATTTTTACTAAATTCAAAATACGTGGCCTGTTCTGTTCTACTTATCTTTCTGGTCGATATTGCGAGTCCCGCAACCCAGCACAGACGGCGCGGCAGAGGCGCAGACGCGGGGTCGACGCGCCCTGGGCATTTGCGCTTGCCACGTTGCGACTCTGTCGAACATTTCTTTGCGTGGCACGTCGTGGGGGGTGGCGCAGTAGCGTAGGTGAGTGTTCTATCGCTGGAAACACCTCCGCTCAGCATTGACATCCACAAACAGCCTGAATTCACTCACCGGGAGAAGATGGAACGTTGTGGAACAACGGCGGCGCCCTCTCGCGCGAGATTTGCTGGAGTTGGAGGTGCGTATGGGCCCTCCCCGGGCGCGCGCTTTCGCGACGAACGCGCGGCGGATGGGCCGGGACGGCACTGGCCGCCAAAAACAGCAGCTGGTTCGCTCAGGGCCAACGACTAGCCCGTTCCGCCTGAAAATCTCAGGGAACGGAGGGATATATCGCCCCTCGCATCCCTGAGAATCTCAGGCGGAACGCGCGAGAAACACGCCCAGCGCGCGCGAGTCTCGGGAACACGCGTCCAACGCCGAGTCTGGCGGATGCAGCGCGTCGCAGTGGCCCAAAACGCGCCGACCAAGTCCCCTGCATCTTCCTCGACATGGCCGGACGCGGCCGAGGGCCTGTTCGGCGCGAAACGGGCGGTTTCCGGCCAAGCTCGGCGCGTTGCTCGCGAGCATCCGGCCGGTGGATCGCCGCCAAAGTGCAGTATGGTGCGGAGGACGTCGGCGGCCCTTCGCGAGTCCATTTCCGCGTCGATCCGCGGTCGCGATCGCGCGCGGTGGCGTGTTTTGTGCTGAGTTTGGGCTATAAACGGCTGCAAATGGCGGCACAGAGTGGTAGCGGACCTTGGAGCCTTGTCTCTGGGCTATCTGAGCCGGCGCGGGGGCGTGGTTTCACAAGATTCTGCCCCAGAAGCCCCAGTTGTGTGTTATTGTCGCCTAGTTTGGGCTTCGGCGGCGCGGTGGCGTGTTTTCGCGAGATTCCGCCCCAGAAGTCCCCAGTTGTGAGTGGTTGTTGCCTAGTTTGTCTTGCTACAAGTCCGGGGAGGCGCGGAGAGGCAGGTAGGATGTTGTGTCGCCAGAGATGGTGGTGGTTCGGAAGCAAGAGAGTCACGCGCGTGACTGTAGTCGAGTCCGAATCTTGCGTGACTCGGTTCGACTCCGCACTGCGGCACTCCGCGGTAAATTAACTGCTGGCAGTTAGCGGAATTCCGCGGCAAGTCCGCTGGCAGTTAGCAAAGTAATTTCAGTTGTGGGAAAAGTGAAGAGAGGGATTGAAAGATATTGAGCTGGAGATTCCAAAAAGTTGAAATGAGAAGCAGGAGGATAAGAACTGAGAGTTGTGGAGGGCTAATGAAATTTCCCAAAAAGGAAATAATTTCGAGCGAAATTGTGGACAGGTGTTTTCACGCTTTTTTGAAATTTGTTCCTGGGGTTGGCTGAGGGGTGGCATTTCCTATTGTAAGGAGGAAGACCTCTGGGTGCTGAGTGTTCTTTTGTCTAGCAGTGTGTCTGACACCTGTTTAAAGATGGATTAACATGGGACCACATTTTGGCAGTGAAAGAGGTTGGCTGAATACCCTATAACAAGGGGAAAAAGGTCATTTGAGTAATTGGTGGGCTCATGCTTAGGCATTGAGAAGAGGCCTCCCCACTGGTGAAAGGGTGATCTCCTTCAGTTGATTGGGAGTAGCTGCTGAATCGAACCAAGGGTTGTGAGAGTGAAGGACAGAAGTCATCATAGCACTGTTTACAGTCAACTTCTGAGTAACTTGAACTTGTAACTTGGTGGAGCTTGCCTATCTTTTCTATTCATGGGTTCTGGGGGATACATTTAAATCTAACTTTTTCTAGGATACTAATTTTCTAGGATGCAGACTCTGTTGGGGGACGCCCTGACAAGTCTATAAACAAAAATCCAGGACTGCAGCCTGGTGTGACAGTGAAGTCAATAAAACTCAAAGCTATTTTTTAACCCCCCTTTACTACCTACCTTCTTCTTCTTTCTTCTTCTTTCCTATCTTCAGCTTTGTGAATGACATGGATTCATAAAGTTGAAGATGTGAAAGAAGAAGAACAACAGTATTTTTTTCCTTCTGCAGCTCTACTTTAGGGCCTGCTGAAGGATCGGGTTCCAGGGGTATTCCACTTTAGGGCCGGCTCATGCTTCCACTCTTTTTTTCTTATATTCTTGTTATTATATTCTTGTTATTATATTCTTGTTATTATATTCTTGTTATTATATTCTTGTTATTATATTCTTGTATTATTAGACTTGGTATTGACTGTGTTGACTGGTACTGAGCGCTACTGCCAGACTACTTTAGGGCCAGCTTACTAGGTGACTTGACTAGGCTGACTGGAGCTTACTGCCTGCATTGACCGCTACTGACTTATACTGCTACTGCCTGCCTTGGGAGATGAGTCTGACTTTAGGGCTGACTTGGGAAATTGGTTGAGGTTATAGAGACACTTCTTACACCTTACTGCCCAGTTTACACTTATGCTTCAAACTCAATAGTTGGCTCACAAATTGACAAATACTCGCAAACACTAGAGTCTTTTGAAACAGTATTAGGGTTGTTTCTCAGTCATTTCTGAAGCTTTCAAGATGGCTTCTATATGGTTAGAAAGGTATTTGAGGGGCCTACAATCTGGTCTTCAACTGAAAACATGTTTAATACAAATTGACTGACTTTCCTTAGCAATTACTGTGGCAGTAAGTATTACACTGTTATAATTTTTGATGAGTTATATATGGTTAGAAAGGTCTCCATAAGGACTCCAACTTTGTCTTCAACTCATTGTGACTTTCCTACAAAACTAATGACTTTTGTTAGTACACACTGTGGCAGTTATTGACTCAAATTGACTTGTAAATATTTTGGTGTGGGTTCATAGAGACACTTTCGAGACCTAACTACCCAGTTTACACTTTGGCTTAAAGTCAATACTTGCTTCAAAAATGCAAATTACTGACCCAATCCAGAGTCTTTTGAAACAGTAATAGGGCTTTATCTCAGTGAGTTCTGAAGCTTTCAAAATGGGTCATATATGGTTAGAAAGGTATTTTGAAGGCCTACAATCTGGTCCTCAACTGAAGACATGTTTGATACAAAATGAATGACTTTTATTACAAAATACTGTGGCAGTAAGTCTTACACTGTGATAATTTTGGATGCCTTATATATGGTTAGAAAGGTCTTCAGTAGGACTACAACTTTGTCTTCAACTCATTGTAACTTTCCTACAAATCTAAGAACTTTTGTTAGTACTTACTGCAGCAGTTATTGACTGTATTGACTGAAATTGACTTGGGCAGATTTTGGTCTGGGTTCATAGCGGCACTTTTAAAACCTAACTGCCCAGTTAACACTTTGGCTTAAAGTCAATACTTGCTTCGCAAAATGCAAATTACTGACCCAACCCTGAGTTTTCAAAACAGTATTAGGGCCATATCTCAGTGAGTTCTGAAGCTTTCATAATGGTTCCTATATGGCTAGAAAGGGATTTTGAAGGCCTATAACATGGTATTTAACTGGAAACCTGTTGACTACAAAATGACTGACTTTTATTAGGATACACTGTGGCAGTTAAGGCCACACTATGAAATTTCTTAATGGTGCATATATGGTTAGAAAGGTTTTTAGAAGGACTATAACTTTCAATTCAACTTTTGTTTGATTGACCACAAATCTATTAACTTTTGTCAGTACTTATTGCAGCAGTTATTGACTGTCTTGACTGAAACTGACTTGTGCAGCGGCACCTGCCTTTTTTCAAAACAGTAATAGGGCTCTATCTCAGTAAGCTTTGGTTGGATCACAATGAGTCCTATATGGTTAGAAAGGTATTTGAAGGGCCTACAAATATGGCTTTAACTGCAGATATGTTGACCACAAAATGACTGACTTTTATTAGGATACACTCTGGCAGTTAAGGTTACACTGTTGAATTTCTTGATGGTTCATATATGGTCAGAAAGCTCTTGAGAAGGACTACAACTTTGTATTCACCTAATTGGAACTTTCCTACAAATCCATCAACTTTATTGACTTGGCACTTTCAAAACAGTATTAGCACTATATCTCAGTCATTTCTGAAGCTTTCAAGATGGTTCTCATATGGTCAGAAAGGGCTTTACAGAGGCTATAAACTGGTATTCAACTGGAAATATGTTTGATATAAATCCAATGACTTTTATCAGTACTTACTGTGGCAGTTATATTGACTCAAATTGACTTGTGCACATTTTGGTGCCAGTCTATGGGGACACTTCTGGGACCTAACTGCCCAGTCTACACTGTGGCTTAAAGTCAATACTTGACTCACAAAATGTCATATACTTTCAGTCTTTTGAAACAGTAATAGGCTCATATCTCGATGAGTTCTGGTCGGTTTAAGATGGTTCCTATATGGTCAGAAGGATATTTCAAAGACCTACAAACTGGTCTTCAACTGCAAATATGTTGACTACAAAACGACTGACTTTTATTAGGATACACTGTGGCAGTTCATGTTACACTGTTGAATTTCTTGATGGTTTATATATGATTAGAAAGGTTTTTAGCAGGAATACAACTTTGTATTCAACTTATATTTAGTTTATCACAATTAGTGTATACTGCAGCAGT